AGAACAGAGTCGTTGTGGTGGTGCAGATATGTAATTCCAACACTTGAGAGGCTGAGGCAAGAGAAGTGCAAATCCGAGGCTGGCCTGGGCAACTTAACCTGCCCCTGTCTCAAAATGAGAAGTACAAAGGAGGGCTAGGAATGCAGCTCAATGGTAGAGCAGTTGCCTAGCAAACACACCTGCAGGCAATCCACTCTACTGTAAATGGAGGGGGGTGGGGGGAAGCACAGGGCATCCTAAGAGAGTAATCCCAATTGGCTCTCCCTTGAAGTGCTTCGAGGCCTGCTCCACTCCTCTCTGTCATCAGCAGGGGTGGGTGGTCTTAGTGGATCCTTCTAAGCTGCAAAGTCAGGAGAGCTTGTGAGGAAAGGGCCAGAAAGGAAAGTGTAAACAGGGCAGGCTCCAGCCTGCCTCCCTCCTCCTGCACTCTGCAGAGAACAAGCCCATCTCAGGAAATGAGGGCCTGTAGCCTCACCCTGGAGGCAGAGGGGTAGGTAGGATGGCAGTGGGCTCCTCACAGCAGAAAAGCATCAGGCCACAGCTCCTGAGAATCCCGGCCTCTGGTGCATGCTGGAGCAGAGAGAGCAGGGGCATGAAGCGCAGAGCAGTAAGGGAGACTGCAGGTGCCCCAGTGAACCTCATCCAAACCTCCTCCCTCTGGTTTACAAATGTTCCTTAGCACTCTCATGGACTGTACCTCATACTGTACTGAGAGTATGGAGCCTTCTTTTCAAAGAAGCATCTCAACATGTAGTAAAGAGAGCCCTGCTGACTGTTGTCTGCTGTGTGACACTGGCCCTCAGACGTCACAGAGGTCAGTGAATGGTGGTGGTATGGCCTCTGGAACCAGTGCAGGCTTGACTACTGGAGTCTCACCCCATCTGCATTTCTGTTTGCACAGTCTTGCACAGGCTCAGCAGCTAAGGTCATGCAGGGAAGTTCATCCACGGAGGACGGAAGAGCTGGTTGGATGTGCTGAGGAGGTGCAGGCCCTTGGCCATAGTTCAGACAGGTGTCCTGCAACCCTAGTGGGAGATCACATGGGCAGGGTGAGTATTCATGACACTGCTGGTCCTTCTGCTGGCTCCATAGATAGAGTCAGCCCTCAAATACATGGTCTGCAGGCTCATCTCTTGTTATGGTTGCCTCTGTGCCTACCTCTGAGCATCTGGTAACACATGATGAACTGCCCTTTTGCTATGCAAGAGGCCACAAAGGACAAAACAACCTTTTCTATGTGGCACGTGGTTATGACATGAGTATGTCCATCATATTCTACCCTCATCTCTCCCCAAATCACCACTCCTGCTGACTAAGTGCCCAGCTTCTTAGTCTACCTCCCAAGGTGACCTGTTCCCAGACTACTCACCTTACCACCACTCATATCTCATTTTCTGGTTTGATTGATTCTGCTCTTCAAATGTGATGGTCACTAACTGAACCAAGACTACCCTGACTGGATGAACACTTTTATTATTTGGTCTCCTCTTCCTTCCTTCCTTCCTTCCTTCCTTCCTTCCTTCCTTCCTTCCTTCCTTCACACTGAGCCACATCCCTAGAGGTGGTGTGCATGCTCATATGTGTGCATGCATGTGTGAGCATGTCTGGTTTGAACTAAAGACTTTGTACACGTTAGTCTACCAATTGAGCTACATCCCTAGCCCTCCCTTCCTCTTCTTCTTCTTCTTCTTCTTCTTCTTCTTCTTCTTCTTCTTCTTCTTCTTCTTCTTCTTCTTCTTCTTCTTCTTCTCCTTCTTCCTTCCTTCTGCTTTTCTTCCTTTCTTTCATCTTTGTTTTCACAGTACTGGGAACAGAACTCAGGTTTTGTGCACATAAGGCAAGCACTCTATCACCAAGCCACACCCCAGCCCCATCTCAAGTTTCTAAGAGTGCAATCAGAGAAAGACCTTGCCCTTCATGCAGCCATGTCGCAATCCTGAGCTCTGTGAAGTTTGGTGCAAGCTCAAACCCCATTTGGGGCTGTCATTTTCTCTTTTGCCTTTGTGTGCTGCAGCTGACCCGCATCTTCCCAGTATTGCACTTTTACATTCCCTTTCTGGGTCCCAGAACAGAACACAGTCGGGGTTGGAAGAAGCAGCATGAGCATGCCTACCTGCAAACTCTGGGCTCCCAAGTGCTATCTGAGAGACAGGTCTCCCAGTACCTGCCCTGTGAGGCCATGCCCTGCTGTCTGCAACAGCTTCCTGAGAACATGCCATGTCACACTAACCCTCCTTTACCCTCCCAATGTGGCACAGTGGGAGTTCCTTGAACCCCTACAGCCTCCCCTTTACATCACAAACCCATGGATTTAGCAGAACTTCAAGGTGCCAGGTACAAACAGACCAGGGAAGTGGCAAAATTAGATGGGCTTATAACCAGAATTCACCACTTCAGAAATACCTGTTACAGACTGTCCTATGAGCAAGGCATGGAGCTGGAAGAACCAGCAGAGAAGTGCGGTATGTTCCCAGGAACCAGGCACATGGGGGACCAAAGATTTCTAACTGTAGAGGATCTCTGGTTTGGGTGTGCTCAGGAAAAAAAAGAAATGAGGGCCAAGGGACAGAAAGCACATGGAAAAAAAAAAGTGAAGTACAAGACTGGGGTAAGAAGAGGGAAAAAAGCACTGTTACCATGGAAACACTGAAGTAGCGATGAGAATCAGTGGACCTCTTCCACCCACCCCCAAAATTCCTTCCCATTCTCTACCTACCTAGCATGGCCTAAAGTGTCTGGGAATTTAATGCCCCTTAGAGACCTGGATCTGGACTAGAGGAGGAAGGCACTCAGGACTTCTGGGGCTAAAAGTTAGACTGAGTGGAAGACAAGTGGCTTCCAGCAGAATTACCCCTGGGTGTTTCCCACCCCTCTAGATGCTGGAACAAACCAGTGTCAGCCAGTCCACAGGCCATCCCTCCTACTGTAGTGAGTGAAGTAGAGGAAAAGAACAAGGAACAGTTGAGAGCCCAGTCAAATGCAGATTTATTTTAATGCAGATTTATTTTATTTTCTCAACACATTTAGAGGTCAAAGATGACACCTGGAAAGGAAAGCTGTGAGACCAGCAGGGTTTGTGTTCGGTTTTTGCCTTAGTATCTCTTTCCTCATATTCTGGGACCAGTCACATTATGCCTGAGTCTAAGAAACAGCTCTGGCCATTCATTCCCTGCTTCAAAATTTGGGATACTCTACCTCCCACAGAAAACACCCACAGGCCCCACCCAGGAGGGCTGTGTTCCTCCATGGGCTTATCCCATTGCTGCCTCTCCATACCCTCGGGAGGTCTCCTACCTCAGAGGTTTAGTTTAAACAGCTCCCGCCCTTTCCTGTCTACTCTTTCAGATTCAGCTCAGAGGAACCTTCTCTGTGAATCCTTCGCCAACCCTCAGAGACGGAAGCTGATTGCTCCCTTTAGTGGATACTCGTCACATCTTAGTGCTCTGTCTCTGTGACTGTTCGTGAAGGGTGTATCTAGTTGGGAGAACCTAGAAGATAAACTCAGAGGATGCAGAATACCCACTTATGGAATGAAGCCATAGTGAGTGAATGAAATGGGATAAGAAAGGCCTGGGTGAGAAGGAATAGAGAGGTGGGATTCAGACCCTCCCATACACAACCTGCAAGGACTGCCAAAAAAGGCAGTGAGGTATATTCTGGGAGGCCTCACATGGGTCAGTGAAGCCAGGCAGACCTGGTAGACATGCATCTTGACAACACTGGCTATAGTAGTGTGCCTCATGAGCCTTATCAGCCTCTTTCCCAGCTGTAAGAAGTTGGGATTAGCAGATGGCAAAGAAGATTTGGAGCAGGTTCTGTGAGGGGCTCTGGAACAGGGCAGGGCCAACATGCTCTGCATACTGTATTCTGCATTTCCTTACTCTCCTGAGAGGGGAAGTCTGCTTTTGCCCAGCAAGGGTCTGCCTTGAGAACAAACAGAAGGCATGTGGCTTCTAGGATTCATTTAATGAGACTTCCATATCCCTGGGCCTCCAGGAAAACTAGGGAGAAGAGAGCAGGAGAGGTGGTGAGGGAGGGAGAGGAGAGGGGAGTAGAGAGGGAGAAGGGGTGGAATGGGTGAGTGGAAGGGAAACAAGGTGGAGAGATAGAACCAAGAACGGCTTCTGAATCCTCTTAATGGTTTGCTGCGTTTTCCCCAGTTCCTCGGGTCTTCCCAGTTCCCTCTCACACAGCACAGAGGCTCTCCCACTAAGGAAAGGAAGGAAGCAGGCTGTGGGGAGGGGGGGGACAAGCCACAAGGTCACAAGAGCTCTGACCCTCAGATCCCGTCCTGCAGCACCACATAGGTGGGTGACCAGGTACTCTGCTAAGGGTGCAAAAGGACTTTGAGTCCTGCTCCCTACACAGCCCTGTATGGGGGTAGATAAGTGGACACACACACATGCACAGCCTCCATGACTCAAAGTAAGATCTGAACAGCCTCTTTCCCTCTAATCTGGAGGGTGGGGGCGGAGCTTTCAGCCCAGGGCTGAGATAACGTACAGCTCTCTCTGGGCAGACAGAGACCTCCGCCTGCCTTTTCTGGTGTTTACAGAACAGTGAGAGAATAAGGTTAGCCTGCCGAAAGGCCTCAACAAGCATGCCCTCCCCTGCCCCAGGTGTGGTTCTGGGAGGCGGAGCCAGCAGCCGGGTCCTCTCTCCATTGGCTGGGCTCAGCAGGTAACAAGAAGCTTGGCTGAGGGGTGCATAAATAGTGAGACTGGTGCCGCCTCCTCACCCCTGCCTTGGAAAAACCAGTTTCTTTTATTGTCTGTGGCCAAGCTCCATTCGGCACTCCACCCCCTCTCCTTTCCAGCTTCGTTTAGCCCCCTCGCCTCCACTTTCTCCTACTTTCCTATTGTCTTTTACTAAAGAGAGAACCACGTGTCGCTTTCTCCAGGAGCAACTTCTGCTCTGCTCAGGCTGCTGAGCTGGGCACCCTGTAGAGTACGTGCTGCTTTCTTCTCCCAGCCTCAACTCTTGAGGGCAAAAGACTTTCCCAAGACTTAAAATTACTTTTTTTTCCCCCCTAACCCAGGATTCTTCAACAATCTTTCAGCTTGGTACTCTCTTAAGACAGAAAACGATGAATTATTTTGCATCAAAGGCAAAGCTGCGCTGGATGTCCGAAGGTATAGGTACTCCTATGTACTCAGGTGAGTCTGAAATCTTTGGATTTGCCGGGTGAGTGGCTAGATCCTGGGGATCTTAGAGTAAGAAGGGAAGAGTGGAAACGGCGGTCTTCACTGGGAGTCAATCATTAACTTCCTTCTTTGTCTTCCTGAGGACTTCTGAACTGCTGGGTGGTAAATCTTGGTGATAAAGGAAGCTGGTACAGCACGCTGCAGCTCTGTCTAGCTTTCTGGGGATTGGCTCCACTAGAGGAATGTGTTTGACTGCCTAGTCCTGGGGTGCTAAGTGCAGCTCTCACAGTAAATGCAAGAACTGCTTCCCTTCTGTGGTTCTCAAGTCCAAGTTGGTTTTTTGAGACCTTTATGGGACAGTCCTGAAGGCAGCTGAAGAGCAGTCACTGGCTAAAACTTACTCTATAGCCCAACATGAGTCTTGTTGGGTCTCTGGCTCAACCCAGTACTGCAACTGGCCAAGACAGTAGTCACTGGGGGATTACATTTGTAGAGGCCTACTGAGTGGGAGAACTTGAATACTAGATGATTGTTGCTCAGGGTGGATCAGGTCTCAGGATCCAGGTTCTAGACCAACTCTTCTTACAGCAACTGCAGGTCTACAGAATGGTAAGCCTTTCCTGGGGACCTCCACCCTGACCCTGTTCATATGGCCTGTCACCATTATCAAGCCTTTTCTTCCCTGGAAAGCACTGGAGATCAGGATCTCAAATGAGGATAAGTCCAATTGTGGACTGGAGGGATCTGGTGGGCTGTCTTAAGGAAGGTCTGGGTAGAGAGCTGATAGTGACCCCTTTGCTTTTCAGAACTGAGCTGAAATCCGAACAGAAGCCAAGACTCCTTCCATCCCAGAACATCTCCCACAGTTTCCTACCTTCCTTGGTCAAAGCCAGCAGACTGGTGTCTTTCTCCACTTTGACTAGGAAGTGGGTCAAAGGTGGTGTGGGGGCTTCAGTGGTCTAGATAACTCACAAACAAAGCATACTTCTTACTATTGAGAAGTAAGTATTCACTAGAAGGCTGAGCAGAAGATTCCCTGAACCTCTTGCCTTTAGCACACAGCGCCCTACCTTCTAGTGAGCCCTGTGTACAACCTGAGGAAGATGATTTAGTTTGGATCTAGGAAAGTGGGATTCTCCCCTAACCATAACTAGAAACCCCTGCCTTTGTGTAAGAGCCTTTCTCAGAAGCCTGATGCCCTGGGGGCTGGATGAGAGAGGTGGAGCCTCTCTGTCAGGTCAGAACAAGCCCAGGAACAAGAAAGTATTCCAAACAAGGCAGTTCAACCCTACCCACCCAGTCTGCGTGTCTCTGCTTAGAGCAGGCTTTTATGAGGTTTATGCTGAGCAGCAGACGAGTCTGAACACAGCAAAGACAAGGCCAATGCAGTCCTTGCGAAGTTCCTGCTTGGTGGGCATTTTCTTTTGGGCAGGAACAGAAAGTCCACAGGTACTACAGGACCTCCCTCTCCTGACCCCTACCCTAGGCTCCCTGGCGAAGTTGTTCACTGATTCTATGCAGAACTGGGGAAACATATGGCCATCGGAGGCTGGCTTTCCCAGACAAGTCTATGGGAAGAGGACCAAGAATTCTTCTTTCCACCATCCACCCGCCCCCATAAACAGGCCTGCTCCAGCAGAGTCCTTGTCCTTCCTCAGCTCCTCCTCAGCTTATCTTGATTTCACACTGGCACACAGGCCCAAACTGGGCTGTTCATGCCCTTGCACAGCGGCTTTTTCAGAAGAATACCTGTGCTCCTGCATTCCACCGTTCGGTAAGCAATGGCAGAGTGAGCGTCTGCCTTCTGTAGACATCACCAAACATCCCCAGCTCTGGTATGGTACACACATTGAAGAGGACAGCCAGCATCCTAACTTGGTATACAGAGAGGATGGCCCCACAGCACTGGCTGTACCACCCACCACAATCTAGCTCTGGGGTGGGAGCAAGGATGCTTGGAGAGGATTTGGATATTCAGGTCCTCACTGTCCTCTAAGAATGTGGATGCAGGAGCCTGAAGGTCTCATCCAGGTCACACACAGCACTACAAGAGGAGGCTTGGTAGACAAACAGCCCCAGACAATCCATGGGTCCTCTTGTCCTTCATTCCACCGGAGTCTGTCTTATGCCAACCAGATTTCAGTGGAGTGAAGCTCAGGAGGCATGGAGCTGCCAGCGGTGAACCAAAGCACGGCGCCACAACAGAGGCATTCTTCGAAAAATGCAGTCACGGAAGGTGTCTGCAGCCTGGGTCCTCCTACAGAGAGATGACAGCAGCAGACAAGAAAACACTGCCAATGAGAGCAGTGTGGCCTTTCTTCCTAAAATTGATGCTTCAGAAATGTGTGTTTTCTGCAACTTACAAAAATTAAAATTTGCCTGTCTGCTGAGGAGCCTTCCTGAATGTACCCTGTGCTGTCAGTCTCCAGAGCCTGCTCCCCTGGGGGTTAAATACCACAGGAGCTCAAGGATGTTCTCCTGACTCCCTCTCTCCCCAGGGACTCCAGGGAGATATCTGGGACATCATTTGCAACCAGCCAGGGATCCTATTGCCTTCAGACTCCCCACAGTGCTAACAAGACCTGCAGAATTGGGGAGGAAATCCCCATTAAGATTATTTAAGTCTATTTATATTATAATAAAATAAATGTAAATAAGACTTAAATGAAGGCAGGTTCAGATCTTTCTGACACTGTACAGGATATAACTCAGCACGCAGTGTAAATTCTGTAAAGGTTAATGTATTTAAACATATTTGACACATAAAGCTGCCAGATCCGACTTTAATCACTCACCAAGTGTAATTGCCTTTCCATGGGTCCCTCTGCACCAGAACATGTGCTTAAAACACGAGGCTGTGTGGAAATCTGGGGTGTGATGGGGACAAATACTTCTTGGCTGTCAGGGTTTGTGATTTGCTTTGATAGATTTGGCACCGATTTTATTGGCTGCACACCCTAAGTGACCATTATTTTGCTTTGTTTTGTTTCTTGTTTTAAACACCACATCTCTCCTTCAGGGAAGAAGATGTAGGTTTGAGGCGGGGGGGGGGGGGGGGGGGGGGGCATAAGTCCAAAGGAAGTTCACTTAGTATAAAGGACCTGCCCAGAGAAGTTCTTTATGGAATTGCCCCTTCTTCGATGGAGGGATCTGCTTGAGGAGCCGCCCGGCTAACAAGGCAGACACTAAACAAAACCCACCAAAGGAAACCCAGTTTTCACCTCTGGAGGATGCCCTGTGTGGCCAGGCTCAACAGAACCCATAGCTGCCCTTTTTCTTAGGAACTGAGTGTAAAGGCTACTTTGGTATCCCAGACCCTGTGTCCTGAATGCCCCCAGTGGCCTCTTTACCTCCCCAGCCTATCTGCCCCAAGGAATCATGAGTTCCTCACTGAACCAGAGGAAACAGCGTTTATCTTAAATGTCTTACCCTCTTGCTTCAAATTGTTATGATGTCAAACTCAGCCCATCACCAACAGTATACTGAGTCCCACAAAGGGCTGAGGAGACAAAGCCACAGGTATTTTTAAAAAGAAATCTGTTTACTCATAAAAATTATGTAGTGGATCTGACTGGGGAAACCACAGTGGTCTGGGTATTGAGCTAGCTAACTGACAAATGCTTTCTGTTCCAGTCTCAGCAAGAAATTCAAAGGCTAAAAGAAAGCACCAGGCAGACATAATATGATATTTCCATGGGTGGGGTTGCTTGAACCCCATAACCTGCATTCTTTTGTAGAGAAGGAAACACACTTGTGTGTTTCTGTGTAACCCAGCTCACAAGGGACAAGAACCAAAGTGGCTGGTGATGATTACAGAAGAGAAGACTTCAGAGCAATCTAGGACATGAAGCTGTAACCAAGGGCTCTGTCTCCACACCCTGGAGTAGAATCCCACTCCAGACCCAGCTCCACATTTTCAGCTGAGACTGGGCTTCTGGCAATGAGGTCTGAACAGCCCATGTCCTCCCTCTGGCAGCTCAGATTGCTGATCCCTCACACAGAAGCAAAAGTCCTTGTGCTTGGCCTAGAGTAGCCTGACAGGGGAAGTGTGTGAGGCGAGAGCTGGAGAGAACTGCCCATCCACCTTCCCCTCCAGGCCTCCAGTCTTCTATGTCTCCTGTCCTGGCTGCAAAGTATGGCTCAGCACAAACATAGTGTTGAGGAAATAGTTTAATCAAAAACACCCTTGCAACAGCAACAAAAAATAATATTACCTGCTTTCTGTATTCATAGTCTTTTATTGAAGAGAAAAGCAAATATCATTGAGCCAAACCTGAGTAGACAAATATATACAACCACTGGTAATTTAATATTTTGTGCTAATGGTATACACTGTAGATACAACCCAAGAGGAGTAAATTACAATTCTATCAATAATACATTGTGTCTGGGCTCTGAATTCCCAGTACACATGAAAATGTGTATTGGCAAAAAGTCTCCGAATATTAAAAGCTGTGCATATAATGAGGTGCAGGACACAGAAGCTAGGGACTCCCTTAGCACTGTGTTCTGGACATTAGGGCCTTCAATGGAGGAAACAGCCCATGCTGCCATTTCTGAAGCTTACATTAAATGACCATAAACCACCATATCCTTAGCAGATCTCCAGGTGAGAAACAACCTGCCAGCTTATAAGACCACAGCCACGTAGTTTAAACCCTGGGAGGTGTCCAGTGTCCGCTATGAGGCTAGAGGAGCTCCAGAGAGCCCCAGGACAGATGGTAATGGCTGAGTGAAAGACCGCGGGGCTTTCCTCTTGACCTAGCCTCTCCAAGGTGTGCAGGATCTTCTAAAACAAAGGAAGAGAGGAAGGCAGGCTAGTGACAGGTAGGGGCCACCTGCCTGGGGTGAGCAGGCATCTTAGAACTGCAAATGTTCCAGCCACTACAGTTTTTTCAGCTCATCTAAATTTGCCCTTTGCTGCCTGCAGGAGAGGCGTGTGACAGTCTTGCTTTAGAATGGGGAAGTATTTCTGCCATACTAACATGAAAAATGAGGATGAATTAGGGTAATGTCTGCAGGAACGCTAGTTAGTGCCACTGTCACATACTAGCCTTTGACCTTCCCTGATTCAAAGAACATTGAGGGCAGGTGGGCCAGGACTTCTTGTCTTTTTTTTAATCAGACCCTGAAAGAAGGAGAGTCTAAGGAAGGCGGGGAGGCTGTGAGGGCTCCGAAGAAGAATGCTGTGACTGTAGATTGCAGTCTCTAGCTCCGAGATGAAAGGGACTGGTCAGACATACACCAATTCCTTAACAAAAACAGAAGCTTCCTGAATTGTGGTGACTTCTCTAGGCTTTCTGGAGAGATTCGACTCTGCATCAAAGAAGAACAAGGCAAACAGGTCCTTTTGTCTAGAGATAAGAAGCTGCATCTGGAAGTTTCTTCACCTCCCCGTGCCCCTCCCCTTTCCATCTATCCTACCTCCCCCACTTCTCCAAGTCTGCCTTTCCCAGGGAAGGGTGGGACACCTGGTGGGAAGTAGGGGAATTACACTAGATGGACTCTGAGATAAGGGAAATAGGACAGAAGTGCATTTAGGGAATGCACTTCCCTGTAGGGAAGCAACACCAAAGAAGACCTTTGGCAGAAAGTGACTTCAATTTTGGCTCTGTTCAATTATATCTGAGAAAGGCAGGTGGCTAAGAACTACTGTAGTGAGCCCATAGATGAGCAAATACTAGTACAGTTGCCTCATTATAATGTTGAAAGTGGATGCCTGCTCAAAGGACTGGCCAAGCTAAAGATCTGGGAGGAGTCTCTGCCAAGGGAACCCACAGGTGAGAAGTGCTCACTGGAGTAGACTTCACCCAGTGGTTGCCTGCAGCAGCCCAAAGCTCCTGAGTCAGCATGTCAGTGGTTAAGAGGGGTCAGATTAGATCTGGTGCCAATTTGATCTGGCCACCAGACTCTGGGCCAGCCACTTAACCTCTTTGAGACCCAATTTTCTTATCTGTCAAGTAGGAATAACGACAATAATGTCAAGGGCTTGTGAAGAGCCAGACGCTGCGTGTGTCTATAGCATAATTTAATGCTCCCGGCCATTAGCAGATACAATTGACATTTCAGGTTTATAGGTGACAGAGGGTGAGGGACCGGCCTGAAGTCACAAGGTTTGTAAACAGTGGAGCTGGAAGTCAGGCCTCGGCTCTCTGTTCCAGACTTGGCACTGGGACCATCGCTCCATCCCCTCACTTCATGCTGGGTTTGGATCTAGAGCGTCCCCAGAGTCGGTGCATAGGGTGGGACCTCAGCCTCTGGCCTGTTGAGAGATACCAGAACTTCTCACAGGGGTAGTGGAGGGCTAATAGCAGAAATTCAGATAACCAGAGGCCAGGTCTTGCTTTCTCTCTCTCCATTTCCCAGCTCCTCTAAAGTAAGTAAGTGACTTTGCCCCACCACACCCTCCTCGCCATGATGCTCTCCTCCTTACAAGCTGCAGAACAATGAAGCCAAGTGGCAATGGAGAGAAGCCTCTGAAGCCAAACTAAATCTTTCCCCATTCTAGGCTGATTCTCCCCAGCATCTCATCACAGTGCTAAAGAGCTGACAGAGAGGATAACACACACAGAAGAACCCGTAAGTGTCTGGAGAATCTATGCATTCAAGAATGCTATCATCATTTTCATCTCAGTAGCTAGCAAAAAAGAAAAAAAAAAAAACCTTTGACAAGTTTGTCTAGCACCCCTCACCTGCCTTGTTCCCCACTCCTGCCTGGAACAGTTAACCAGGGGCACATCACCAGAAACCCAGCTGCTGTGGAACACTGTCTTCCAGCACAATGTGCCCACTGCTCCCCTGAACTGTCAGTGCCTGTGATTATCTAGACTGACAGAAACCACACAAATCTGGGTGCATCCACTTTCCATCAAAAATTTAGAGATACTTAATGGTTGCTAGAGCTAGGGGGTCGTGGGGTCCCACCCCTCCTCAAGAATGTGTAGACATGCCGGGCGGTGGTGGCGCATGCCTTTAATCCCAGCACTCGGGAGGCAGAGCCAGGCGGATCTCTGTGAGTTCGAGGCCAGCCTGGACTACCAAGTGAGTTCCAGGAAAGGCGCAAAGCTACACAGAGAAACCCTGTCTCGAAAAACCAAAAAAAAAAAAAAAAAAAAAAGAATGTGTAGACAGGTAACAGATGCTGGAGAGGGGCAACATTGTTTTCTTGAGTGGTCTCACTGCCCATAAGTTGCCCATGCTTCTGTAAGTACCACCAGTTAAACTCCCGGGTCACCAGGCTGTACCTGGATGGAATCATTTCTGGATTTCAGTCAATGGTGCTCTATCTAGTGTAAGTATGCCTTTTTTTTTTTTAACCATGTCTCCTCAGAAAAAGAGTTCACATGACACCAACACTAAATTTACTGTGCAATTTAGTCATGACTCCCATCACCCTTGACATCTACAACCATTACCTCCTCTTTCCCTCAGCTTACCTTTCAGGCTTCTCATTTGGTCTGTGTGTCCTATGGTACAAGGTTTGAGGGCTTTGTTTATGTCTTTCTTTTTCCAAAATAAGCATTATGCAAATAAAAAATTAACAACTGTCTTTTCAGGGTGAGCACTAATTCAATTTTCCTACCATTTCTTGTGGAACAAGTGAAATACTGTGAAAAAAAGAAAGTTTGTGGGGCCAAAGAGATGACCCAGTAGTTAAAAGCATTAATGCTCTTGCGGAGGACCCGGGTTTGGTCCTCTGCACCAACATGGCAGCTCACAATCATCTGTAACTTCATTTTCTGGAGATGCAATGCCCTCTTTGACTTCTATAAGAATCAAGCATGCACATGTTACATGCACGCATATGCACCCACGTATATGCACAAGCATGTGTATATGTGTGTGTCACACACACAGTTAAAATATCCATATGTGTAAAATAAAAATAAACAAGTCTTTTTAAAAATAAACTTTTGGTGAAGAACTAGTAGAAATAAGTTTTGAACACACAAGAAAAGCAGAATGGTCTGGCAAATGATGAAGTGA